TTATAAAAAGTTAAATGATGTAACTATTAAAGACAATCATCCCATACCGAGAATAACAGAAACACAACAATTATTAAGTGGTTGTTACTATTTTTCTACAATAGATTTATTGTCAGGCTACTGGCAAATAGCCGTATCACCTGATGATAGACCTAAGACAGCATTCATTACAGCTTATGGTCTATACCAGTATAAGGTTATGCCTTTTGGATTAACCAATGCATCGGCATGTTTCCAACGATATCTACAGTATGTTCTGTCAGATATACTATGGAAAAGTTGTGTTTGTTATTTGGATGACATACTTGTGTTTTCAAAAACGTTTGATGAACATTTGATAAAACTCGAAGAAGTTTTTGAGAGATATGATAAACATGATTTACGAATAAATTCGGATAAATGTAAATTCCTTTCTAAAGAAATCGAATACTTGGGAAACATTATCTCACATGATGGTATCAAACCAAGTCTAAAACATTTAAATGCTTTAATTAATTACCCGAAACCTACAACACAAAAAGATGTCAGAAGGTTTCTTGGACTCACTGGATTCTATCGAAACTTTATTAAAGATTATGCGAAAATTGCAAAACCATTAACTGATTTACTAAGGAAATTTTGTAAATTTAATTGGACACCCGACTGTACACTAGCGTTTGAGTTGCTACGGGATAAACTATTGTCAGAACCTATAATCGGACTATATGATCCGACGGCTAAAAATATTTTATATACCGATGCATCACAATTTGCAATGGGTGCGGTATACTCACAAGAAATAAATGGCAAAGAAAAAAATATTGCATATATTTCTAAACTATTTAATGATGCCGAAGTAAATTATTCAATTTCCGAAAAAGAATTAAGGGCTATTGTATGGGCACTTCAAAAGCTACGGGAGTTTTTATTTGGTTTTCATGTCATAATAAGGACTGATCACTGTGCACTATGTTATCTACCAAGAATACGTAACCCTAATTCTAAACTTAACAGATGGTCACTTATTATACAACAATTTTCGTATACTATCGAATATAAAAATGGCAAAATACATAGTAACGCGGATGCTATGAGTCGTATAAAAGTTAATAATGAAATTGATTCAAATGATATTGACAATGAATTAGAGTTTCCCGTATTTATTAACGATGCAGTTGATATCAAGAATGAACAACTCAATGACAACTGGTGTTCAACTCTTATTAATAAAATTAAAGAAAGTATTTTGTCTAATCGCGATGACAAAGAAATTAAAAAGTTTAGAATACAAAATGATGTATTGTATAAACTAACACATGACATAGTAGGGAATTCTCAACTACTATTGTGTTTATCAAAAAGTTTAAGGGAAACCGTATTAAAAGAATGCCATGATGAACCGACTGGTGGACACATGGGCATTGGAAAGACTTACGGCAAAGTAAGCGAACGATATTATTGGCCAAACCAGGAAAAATCTGTGCGAAAGTATGTCGCTAGATGTGAAAGTTGTCAAAAATTTAAAAGAGATTACAATAAACCGACGGGTTTATTAAAAAGTATAATCACAACAGAACCATTTGAAATCTGTGGAATGGATTTACTTGGTTCACTTACCGAATCTTATAGCGGTAACAAATATGTAATAGTATTTGTTGATTTGTTTACTAAATGGATTGAAGCGAAAGCGGTACCAAATAAGAATGCAATCACTATTGTAAACTGGTTAAAAGATGAACTCTTCAATAGACATGGATATGTCAGGAAGATCATCACAGACAATGGTCGGGAGATGACTGCCGGTATTGTCAATGAACTTATGAATATAACTGAAGTAAAACACGCATTTACAACACCGTACCACCCACAGTGCAATGGCCAGGCGGAGAGATCGTGTGGACTGATCACCCAACTACTGTCTCACTACTTGGACAGCGCATTCAGGAACTGGGACGAAATGTTGCCTAAGATTGTATTTGCGTATAATACTGCTAAACAATCCTCAACTAAACTAACACCGTTTGAGTTGGTCTATGGAAGACGAGCAAGACTTCCTAGTGAAGCGATAATTGATAAAAAAGCTGTATATGAAACAAATGCTTGTTATATACAGGATTTAATAGAAGCCCGAGAAATTGTAAAGACCAGATTACGTGACGTACAAGATTTGCAAAAATCTAATTATGATTACAACAAAAGTGAAACAACTTATAAAATAGGTGATAGAGTTGCTTATAAAATAAAACCGAGAGTCAAAGGGATGTCAGAAAGGTTCTTCCCTAAATACATAGGACCGTATGAAGTGATAAAACTATATGATAATAAATTAGTTTGTAAAATAAAAGACTTACAAAATACAAACTCAAAACATAAGAATGTTAACATAAGACAATTGAAACCATGGAATGAATCGCTGATTGAAGAGATATATTTTTCTGATGGACAAGAAATGAATAAAAAACAAACTGAAAGCAACGAATCGGACGTCGACTATTGGTAACTTATTTGAAGGGACTCAAATATCTAAGGGTCGGGCAATGAAATGAAAAGCAATATTTATTTATTTTAAATTACATATACTTTAAATTATTATTATTTATAAATGTTTTATATTATATAAATAAGCAGGATGTTTCATATAAGGTGTTATATGAATATACCTTATATGTTTTAGTTAAATTTATAATTTTTATTATAAAATAAACTGTATTTTATAATACAGTTTTGATTCAGGCGTCGGGTCTCAGCAATTAATGTCATGAAAATTATCTAAATTTATAACTTATTTAACCAATTATTATTGAAATTATTATTATAATAATAATACTAAATTAACTGTTTAATAAATTGTTTATTATTTAATAATAAAATAGTTTTTAATTATTATTAAAGTATTTATTATTATCTAATAATAAAGTGGTTATTATTAATAAATTATTATTTATTAATAAACTGTTAATCTCATTGAACTTTTTGCTACCGATTACTTTAAAATAAATTGTTATTTATTAATTAAATATTATTATTTAATTAATAATAACTGTGGCTACCGATTACTTAATAGTAAGTTAAATATTATATTGTAAGGTTATACTATAAGTGTTGGTCGGTGACAAGCATCACTGATCAAGAGGTTGACCATCGGCTGGCCTGAATCCGCCGAATAGCCGGTGGTCACCGGACAATATAATATATAAAAACAAAAATAATTTTATTTTTTTAAAATTTATTTTCCCGTATCGCCCCACCACATCCCATCCCACTTCCCCACACACTTACACAACAACATTGACACGTATACCACGGAAGGCCAAACCAGCCGCTGCACACTTGCTATACATTTGTAGTGCACTTTTAGCCGTAGAGTGCATTGAAACCATCGAGTGCTATTATTATTACATATATATATATATACAGATATAGGAGATAAGTTTATTTAATAAAAATAATAACAAACATACTGTGCATATATTAGCCGATATGTTGATAATATTACCGCCAAAAATAGATTTCTCTAAATAAGGTACTGATAGCTGTGTCAGTCTGACAGTAGCCCTAAGCTCTATATCTAGTAATTGGTATAATTTTTCATTGAACATTGGATCCAGAAGCTGGCAACTGTCTGGACAGTCGGCATTGTTGATCAAAATGTCTATCCGGCCATACGTTTGGACAGTTTTGTTCACCAGTAGCTGGCAGTCAGCCTCCAGACAGATGTTGGCTACAATTGGTAGTACTGTTGTTGTTGTTGTTGTCAACAGTGTGGACACTGCACGGCATCGATTGGCCACAGCAGTGACCCGATCCTGATTACGACCGGTGACTACAACACAGGCACCGCATTTGGCAAACTCTACGGCCATACCGGCGCCGATACCACTGCTCGAACCGGTAATCACTACTATTTTTCCATTGAAATCATCGCTTTTTGTAATAATTTCCATATTTTTTTAAAATTTAAAACAATTTTATTTTATAAATTTTCTTAACATTTATTATTATTATCATATAATTAACATCAAAAAAAATAAATTGAAAATAAAAATTCTAAGTAAATAGATATATTAATTTACACGTAGACATTATATATTAAAAACAACAACAAAAAATTATTATTTTTTTTATTAACATTACATTTCAAGTTTATATTTTTTTAATACATTTACTATTTTTTATTTAATTAATAAAATTCTGTTTATATTTAGTTTATTAAAAATAATAATACAATAATAATATTAAAAAGTTTAATTAAATAAGTTTAAATAAATTAATATTAATATAAAAATTAAATATAAATATAAATCATATTTATTTATAAAAGAAAAATAACATTTATAATATTTATTTTATGTTATAAATAAGTAAAATTGATTACAGTAAACAAAATAATACTTAATTAAGAAATAGATAATAATAAAAATAAACTAGTACACATTAAATGTCTAAATATGAGTTTATTATACTATGATAATTGTTAGATATAAATTTTCAAAATAAATAATTAATATTTGTTTAGTTAATTATGTTATATTTGTAACACAAATTTGTTTCATAATAACAGTTAATTTGTATTAATGATATAAAGTAGGATTTACAATTTATATTCTAATAATTTTAATATTTTAATTTTAATTAATATAGTTATGTTTAATTATTTATTTATAAAAATAATAATAATAATATAATGTATTAACAGCTCAATGATTGTTGTTGTCGATGATAGGTATGACAAAGTACTTGACCGACAATGAAGTTATAGCCAATGCCTGGTTTCTGACTGTTGGCGGCTATGGAGTGACAGTTATTACCCTATCGTTTACCACCTATGAGTTGGCCTGTAATCAAAGTGTTCATCAAAAAAATAAACTTTACGATGAAATCAGGACAGTTGTCATTACATCAACAACAAAAAAAACATGACGACAATGACGATCGACAACTAGATGTCGATCGGCTGCAAAATCTACCGCTACTCGAGGCAGTCGTATGCGAAACAATGCGCTTACTTTCGCCGATAATAAATGGAGGGCCGTATTGCCAAAAATGACTATACATTGGGCGGTCGTCACACAGGCATCACTCTCCGAGCCGGCGAAACCATAGAGTTTGGTATCTATGCGATGCATATGAACGCCGACTACTATCCAAACCCCGAACAGTTCAATGTCGACCGTTTTCTACCGGAAAACCGTAACCAACTGACACCCTATGCTTTCTTACCGTTTGGTTTGGGTCCGCGACAGTGTATTGCCAAACGGTTTGCGCAAATGCTCGTCAAACTAACACTCGCGACACTTGTATTGAAATACCGATTCAATACATGTGAACAAACAGATATACCAACCAAAGTACATATAAGTAGTTTTTCAAATGCACCCAAATGTATCAATTTGAAAATTCAATCTTACATTGAAAATTACATATATTAATACTTGTAGATAAACAAACCTATATTGCTGTATAGATTATAATAGTTTATTTTTGTAGTAAAAATATAATACAAATATATTAACATTCAATTAATACAATAACTTTTTTTTATTGAAAATATTTAAATATCAAATAAAATAGTTAATAACTATTACTGTATAATACTACTAATATTATTATTACAAATTAAAAAATTTATTTTATAAAACAATATGACATCCGATTTCTATTGTATGACACAGTTTTTCGTTGACTTAAATACATTTTTAATACAATTTTATATTTTTAATAATACAATAATATTATATTAATAAATTAAAATAAATTAATAATTATTTTACTAATTAATAATAGTATTAGATTTTTTTTGAATGTAACAAACTTTTTTTTATATATATATTATATATACATTTTCAAATATGCTAGGTCATATATTTTGAGTATGTTTTGTTTGATTTAATTTAAAATTTAAAAATAGAGTAAAAAATTTATGTTTTGAATTTATGTTTTTATTAAAACAATTTAAATTAAATAAAATAATTTTTTTTCATATCTAACAAATATTTTCTCCTTTTATAAATAAGTATGAAAATAATACTTACTTTATTAGTTATTATATATTTTTATTATTATATAATTTTTTTTAATTAACCTCGTTAAATATATAATACTATAATATTTAGTTTATTATATTATAATATATATGATATCAGCAATTTTTAAACATAAATAAAATATATTTATTAAAAAATTAGGTTAATTATAATTTAGTCATAAATTATTATAAATAAAAAAGATTTTTTTAAATTATTTTTTTTACTAGGTGGGGGTAAGGGGTAAAGTATAAATTTTTATTGTATTTTTAAAAAGCATGTATTCGACAACAAACAAAAAGTTTTAAATAATTTTATTTAATGGACTTATTTTTTTCAAAGTTATAATAATCTTTTAAATAGATATTTAACTGATTATTAGTTTTTTATAATAAATTTTAGAAAATTTTTCCCTAAAAAATTACTTATAACTTATTATTATCCACAACAACAACAATTAAAATTTAAGGTACAACTCCTGGTTTGTATGAAAAAATGGTACGTCCACTACAAGTGGCCTTACAGTTGCCGGTAATCTTCAAGTGCTCGAACAGTGGCTTTGAAGTGGTCATCGGTTTGGTTATACATTGGCCTTCGGGTGGCAAATATATGGACCAACCTTGTAGTTTAGATCCAGCACAGGGACCATCATTGAACAGTCCAACTTCACGATAGTAGGTATCGCCTATGTTTATGATGGTTATAGGTTTAATATTAAAAATTTCAAAGAGTGGGAGAGGGGGTTGTAGTAGGACTACAACCGGTTTAACCCCCGTCCTATGATATACACATTTTTGTATGTTACCCCACCCCCACCTCTCTCCCCGATTGTCTTAAACCATAAAGTTAAGCGGCCCCTCCACTACCCCACTAAATTTACCAAAATGCAATAAATCATATGTTCACCCCACCCTAATTGTATATTAGATTTTATGCATTAAAAATCAATTAAATTTAATAAATTATTTATTTATTTTCTACATTTTAATATTAAATAATTTACTATTAACTATTTTATCTAATATAAGCTAAACTTACTAAACTTAAAAGTATATATTTAATTGTTTAGTTTTTTTAAAAAAAATAGATAACTATATCAATTAAATTACACAAAAATAAAACTTTCAGTAAACCTATACTATATATGCCAAAAATATTTTTGCTATTTTACCCCTCCCTCTATACCCCACATGATATTGAAAACTTTAAGTAATACCCACAGTATAACTAGTTTTTATTTAATTTTGTTGTTGTTGTAAAACTTACCGTCAATTATAGTAACAATCAGATTATATTCAGTATAAACAACTGTATGTATTTCGCCATTACTTAACACCAAATCAAACGGATTGTCCTTATGGTTGTCGGTTATAATACCATTACATGTCATTGTATTGTTGATCACTTCGGGCATCAATATCTCGACAATGTCTACACTACTGTCCGCATCGCTCTTACATTCAAACAAATTCAAAAATGTACAGTCAGTATACATCATCGGTGTTATAGCTATAGAAATATATATTATAAATCATTAATAGCTGTTAGTTATATATTATAGTTATTTTCATTTTTTAAAAAATAATAATTTTACCTAAATCTTCAAATTTTCTGCAATTTTCTAAAATTTGTTAATTAAAAAATTTATTATTAATTTGTTAATTAAAAAATTTATTATTAATTTGTTAATTAAAAAATTTATTATTAATTTGTTAATTAAAAAATTTATTATTAATTTTTTTAATGAAATAATCACAAAAATAAAATTATATTATTATACAAACCTTCAATTGTTTTTTCTATTGACTTAGAAAAAACAACAAAAACTGTATTAATTAATAAAATATATACTAAAACTTCTGATAACATTTTTTTAGTTTATATAAAACCTATACAATATGTCCTAAAGTAGTTTTTTTTCGTTTAAACCTCTATTAAACCTAGAAATCAAATAAACTAATAATTTTTTTTCATATAAAAGTATTAGTATTTATAATCTAATTGTATTTTCAATTACCTTATCGATACCTTATCGCTTATGCCTTTAAAAATTTACATTTTTGGCTTACGGTTAAAATGTGATGAATTGTTGAAATAGATATCTGTGTCCGATGTCGTAGAAGCGATGTCCATTACATCGGGATCCTGTTGTTTGTTTTGAGTGACTGTTGTCTCATTGCTGTTCTCCGGGTTTGGGTTCCTCTGAGTTGCCATCTCGTTGACTACCGGTGCTCGACGTCGACTTTGTTTTCTGGCCATTGTTGATGAGCGCCAATATAGTTGCAAGTGTTTCGGTGTCTATACGGATGTTTTGTTGATCAGTTGTTTTAATGATGTCGTGCACTGCTCTCCTAGATATGTCTGTCACTGCCAGTGGTATAATAGCTTTTTTGGCAAAACTATACAGTTTGGTGAAAATGTTGGCACCGATGACTCCAGTAGTTAACAACAACACAATTAAAATAATAACTTTTATAGTAATTGATTTTGAAAACATTGATATATTGACAGATAACTATCCTGCCGACTTGTCAGACTAGACTGTAGTTGTTTTGTTTGGTTAGTTATCATTAATTTATTAAAACTTATTTGAATTAAAAAACATTTATTTTATTTAGTAAGAACTTTTAAAAACAAAATACAGTATAATGTGTGTACAGTATATTTGATACACAAACTGGAGTTAATCGAGAGGTACCGATAACTAGTTGTCCTCTCATTTATATACAAAAATAGTTGTCAATTGATTAACATATAGTGGGGTCAGTTTGACCTAGATTATTGTTTATTGTTTGATTTTATATTGTATTGATATATGTATGTATGTGTGCTTACAGTATGTTTTGTAAATGTATTTAATTATAAATTGTTAAACAAAAATAGATATAATAAAAGTTAATGTACAGTATATTTATGTATGTACTGTCGGTGTATATGATATACAATTAGAAATAGTGGGATAAAATTATCGGCATATTTGTGTTCAAAGTTTGATACAAGTATTTAAAACTATTTCTAAAATTATAGCTAAATTGAAATATCAATTGTTAACTTAGTATAACTTAAATTCATAGAAATGTTAATATAATTTATTTAAAATATTGAATTATTAATAATCATAAAAATAATGTTAACTTAAATTTCTATATATCTGACATATATTTATTTGATTAAAGTGCCTAAAAAATAATTCAATAATTACTAATCACTAGATGCTAGAGCATATAAAATTAGTAATATTTTTTTATAATATAATTTTTTTTAATTTATATTTTATTGTAATTATCATTATTTTAATGCGTTTTCTAATAAGTATGTTAAAATATTTATAACTCACCATGACTATTATAGTTTATATCTTTATTTATTTATTTATTGCATTGAAGTTTTTTCCATAAATGTTTTCTAGCATTTTCTAATGGCTTAACCTTGTTAAGTTATATTATTAGTTATTATTAGTTAATATTAACTAAAATTTATTTATTGATAATTACACGTGTTTATTAGAAATAAATAATATAAAATAATAACTAAAGTTACAATTAATAGTTAATTTTTTTTATTAACATTAAATATATTTAGACTACAAAATGGCGTCTTTATGTTTCATTTAAAATTTTTTTGGTCATATCAGTTGACTTTTTCAAATTAAAAGATTAACTTTTAATCTCTTAACAAATAATTTTTATTATATTTCTAAAACATAAGGCGTTGTTCACATATTACGTTCGCACTTTTTAAGAAATCTAGACCCCCTCCCTCCCCTATGTTTGCAATTGTTCGCATGTAGTCATTTAAAAGAATTACGTTCGCTTGACCCTAACCCCCCACAATATATAAGATATTATCTAAATGCGAACGTTCTTAAAGTCTTTACCCCTCCCTTCCCCCTTGTTTGCAAAAGTTCGCTTTGACTAACCCCCCCTCCCCTCAAGTGCGAACGTAATATGTGAACCACGCCTAAGGGAAAAAATTTAAATCTAAATAATAAATAGTTTTAACTTTAAAAAAAACATTAATATCTATTTTGTTTATAAGTTGTGTTTGCTCCCTGAGCTCCTCATGAGATCCCTATATGGGATACCGTATTCATTTTAAGAGATCCACTCATTTAATGTTATCCAAACTTTTTTTTTGTATAACTTTATATTTTTTTAATAATTATTGTTTTAAAACTAATTTGTGATCTAATAATAATAATATATATATATGCATATATATATTAATGCAATTTAAATTAAAACTATAAAATATAATAATTTTAATTGTACTTTTTAATATGAATAGTACAATTAGTAATGACTATGCATAACTTAAAAATAAACTAATATAATTTAGTATTAATAAAAATTGTTTTTTAAATAATTACAATAATACAGTAGTTTATGTTGTTAAATTTATTTTTTAATAATTAAATTGTTTAAATAATATAATATCATTAATTTTTTTAATAATTAACAAATATTTTTTCATTAAGATTATTAAACATTAAGTATTTAAAACGATACTTCAGTTCTTACATATTATAGAAAAAAAAATTTTAATTTACTAATTTTTATAAAAAATAATACTGTATTATTAGTAAATTATATACTAATATCTATTTCAAATATATTTAAATATGTTTTTGTTTGTATTATAATTCAACATTTTATTAAAATTTAAAATTTACTCAAATATAATAAATAAAATTTTGTTTGTTTACAAATTAAAAAATATAACAATATATATATAATTTTATATTATTAATATTATCACTATAATTATATAACTTTATAACTATTATAATTTTCTATATACAGTATTGTATATAATAATAAATTATAAAAAAAATATCTAATTTTATTTCCAATATTTTGCCCATAAATTGTATAAAATTATTAACATAATCTATTTTTTAAAAAAACAATATTGAATAAAAATTAATCTATAATAAAAAAAATTTTTATATAAAATTTACCATAACTAATTGTAGGCCAGCTATGGGTACTGTAGCCCATCGATAGCCCAATTTTTCAACCATATAACCACCAATTCCCGGACCAATTGACAATCTATTTATTGATTTTTTAATTTTTGTTAAAGTACAGTGATTAAGATATCAATAAAATTCATAGATAGTTATTATTATTATTATACAAATCATAAATAGCTAGTCAATTAAATTAAATATTTTTTTAAATATAAAATTCAAATATAATGTGTAAATTTATATATAAATTAATATATTATACCCCATTGCAAATGATGATGAAAAAATACCGGAAACTACTGCATATGTGGAAACATTATCGGGAAATCCGGACTTTCTAAAAAAATTATTTAAAAAAATAATAATTAATAAATTTAAGAAACAAAAAATAATACAGTTTAGCTGAAAATAATTTAATAAAAACTAGTTTTTTTTTATAAAATTAAAGTGATTAGAAATATTTTTACATTTAAAAAAATTTATTTTTTTCTTACTTTCATTTACAGTGTAAATTTTACACTATAAACAAAATGTTTAAATAATATGTAATTATCAAATTTGTTGTTCGATGCAAGTTATTCAAAATTAGGGGTATAGAGGGGGCAAAATTGCAAATATATATATATATATATATATATATATATACTCAAAAATATTGGGATTGCGCATAGAGGGAGTGAACAATTTTTATTGCATTTTTAGACGACAATGTTTTTATTAAGTTTGAGTAAATTTTCACTAAATTTCTTCTAAATTCCCACTAGATTTACATTAAATTTCCTTTATATTCTCAGTAAATTCACTATAAATTCCCGATAAATTCCCGATAAATTTCCTATAAATCTTCCATAATTAAAAATATATATCTATCTTAATTTTTCAATACTCTCAAAATATTATCACAAATTATTAATATTTAGGTTTACAAGTTTAGAAAAATATATATTAAATTTAAATATTTAAAGACATACAACATTTTTAATTATAATAATTAATTAAAAATTAAATCATAATACCATTTAATTAATTATTTTTAAAAACAATAAATTAAAATCATTAAAAAAAATTTTTGTTGTTGATAATATTAATACATACAATGTTTCGCGTAATCCTTGTACAAAACTGCCGACAAATTGACCGCCCATTCCCAGACCCACAAATACCTGTGCGAGTATTGTTAACCAGAGTTTTCTAAATATTTTTTTTTATAAAAAAAATTTCATTTAAATCTATAATTATAATTTAATTTAGTCAATTGTACGAAAATATATTTAAAAATAGTTTTGAATATATATATATATTAATTATATAGTAATTATATAAATTTATAATATAATATAATATATAATTATAAAATAATTAATTATACAGTATATATATATATATATATATATATATACTGTATAATTAACAATTAATAATAATTTTATTACTTACGATTGAATGGGGAAAAAAGGCATTGGACCAATAATTATCATAGATATTAACGATGATATACAGCCTATTAGACATAATGGATGACAGTTTGGCATTTTATCAGCAAAATAGGCCCAAACCTGATTAAACAGTGCTAACAATACACCAGATATGATAAATATGGCGCCAATAGTTATCGGTGATAGCTTTTGAATCTGTTATTTTTTTTGTGATATATATAGAGTAAATAAATAAATAAATATATATATATATATATATATATATATATATACGTAATGGTTATGTAAATAATTTAATAAATTAATATTATATAAATATAGTTATAAATAATTTTTTTTTTAAATAAATAAATACAGTTTCCAAATGTAGTTCAAGTGTTGCCTCATTGAAACCAATTAGCAGATGACAGTTGACACTAATTAAGACATTTAATGTTATATTAAAATTGCTTAAAATACTAAAAACACTTGTCCTCTCTAGAGTTAAATTGTCATCTGTTTATTTAAAAAAAATAGTAATAAGTTTATAATAATTATTATTTAGTATAATTATATAAAACTTAATAATTGGATTAAATATGTAAAAAATAAATAAATAAATAAAAACATTTACTTTTATTTGGAAACAATATTATCATCAATAGTACACCAATTAATATGAGTGATGCCATCACAAAAAATGGCAAACAAAACGATAAACCACTGCTATTACCTAACTATTTAATAATAAAAAAATTTAAGGTATACTGTATATATATACACTGTATATAATATATATACAGCATTTTGTAAAAATAATCTATTTAATAAAAAAAATAAATAATATTTACAGCTAATTAAATTTATTAAAAATAATACTAAAAAAAATAAATTTATAATTACTTGATGTAATAGACCACCGATTGCTGGACCAATTATCATACCCACACCGTAACACATCTCTATTGTGGCCTTAAATAGTCAGTAATCATAAGTAATAATAAATATTAATAAGTAATAATAAATAATAAGAATAAGTTAATTTAAATTTCGTACAAATAATTTTGATATATGTTTTGGAAATTTCATACATATAGTAGTATAACTACCGACAAAATATGCGGCCGAACCTAACCCTTCAAATGTACGACTGACCATTGCTATTGCTATGAATGGTGTTCCCGATGGTACCCATTGAAGTACACTAATTAATAATAATAATAATAATAATGAAAAGTCGATGTAATTCATAATACATACCCAAATATAGCGCAACAAATACCGGCTATTAATAGACCGCTAACTATACTAAACTTTGTGCTCAGCGGTGGTATCTATTAAGACGATGATATTATTAATAATATTAATAATAATATTAATTATGATATTAATAATGATATTAATAATGATATTAATAATGATATTAATAATAAAATTAATAATAATAATATTAATAATAAAATTAATAATAATAATAGTAATAGTATTATTAATAATATTAATAATAATATATAATTATAAAGAAACATTAAATTATACTATTGTTAAAAATTTTATTAACTTTAACTAATGATAGTATTATTGATTTCACAAACTTACAAATTTACCAAAAATTGCTGCACCAAAAAATAAGGCGATTTGATACTCGGCTATAATAATGCCAATCCATGTCTCATTTAAACCTTTAACTTTTGCCTAATTTATATATATTAAAAAAAACAAAAATAAATACATCATAAATACAGTAAGAGTAATTAAGTACAAAAATTAAAAATATCATTTTTTTATTATTTACATAATTAATAATAATAATAAAAAATTCCATAATTAATATCTATAGAAATATTCTAATCAATTGTAATAAGTAATAAAATGTTCGGACATTGGATAGTCATAGCGGTTCGGGTAAATAGTCAGTTCTAGTAGTTGGTTAGTTCAAGAATAAAGGTCAGTTCAGATGCTCGGGTAAACAGGTTAGGTTAGGTTAGGTGTAGCATGTGATCAAGGGAACCTTATTAACCATTCCTCCCGATCCCGTTTATACGCTTATTAAATATATCTACATTAATTATAACTTATATACATTATTCCATAATAATTTAAGTAAAATTTATTTGTTTACCTCAGTTGGAAAAAACGGCGCTAACAATGAATAAGCGCTTCCGATACAAAAATTTCCGTAACATATCAACAGTATTAGTAAAAAATCTTTTATATTAAATATACGTAAAAAATTACAACAAAACTTATTATTATTATTATTATTATTATTATCAATATTATTATTATTATTAGAGATATTAGGAGTAGTAGTAGTAGTACTATTAGTTTGTAATTCCATTAGAAATTATTTTTATTAATTTTATTTTAGTAATATCAATAATTTTATTAATATTTGATTCAAAAATTGAAAATAAAATTAAATATTTTTTAGTAAATTAATTGTATTCTAATAATTATATTCTTAACAAAATTATTTAAAGGCTATAATTATTTATGCATTTACTGTAGACAATGCGTATATATATATAGTACTTTAGTATTAAGTCATAATAAACTTGGTTTCAAAAAATGATTGACACGGTTTTTATTTATTATTAAACTTTTAAACTATATTTTTACAACGAAACAAGATCATTAGATACATGAATTTATAATTTTCTCAACAAAATTTTTTTTGTAAAAAATTTACTAAATGATTCAAATTATAATAGTTTAATATAGCTGACCGCAAAATTTCACACAATTGATGACCTCAGTTCAATCAGTTTAATATTATAATTTTTTTAATATAAAATCTCAATATCTCTTATATTTTTTGATATGTAATAATTTATATCACTGTTCCCGCATACCGGAGCTGTTATATTTTTAAAAAACGTGCTAATGCTATACTATCCGTTCAATGATTTCATAATACCAAAAAAAAGTAATTTATATTACTTATACAGTATAAGTTCAAAAGTTATAATTAAAAAACCATGTCAAGTACTTTTGAAAATGATTTTATGTTATTTTATTAGATTATTATTGTTTTATTTGTTTAAATGATAATCAAGAAATTAATTACTAAATTTTTATGATCTAATGATAATGCAAAAGTAAAAATTAAATTCAATTTATATATCATAATAATATTAAGAAGTTATAATATATTAAAAAAAATAATTGTATATAACAAGTAGTACAATTTGTATATTTAATTATTTTAGTTTATTTAATCTATAAGATTATTATTATTATTATTTACACAAATTTCTACAAACTATATATATACTTAAATATGTTTATTTTATTGATGATTATTAGTATATTAATATTATATTACTGGTAAGATTATATTATAATATTATTATAATATAATTCTAATTATTTTAACAATTAATAATTAAAAATTGTTTAGATATACAATTAATAACTTATAAAAATAATTTTTAGTTATCAAACCCGTAATTATAACTATTGGTCGGACAGAGGCCTAAACGGACCGAAACCCTGGATATGGTTTGGAAATACATTGGAGGAATTGTTTCGTCCGATTTCGGTCATCGATAGAGAGAGACGTCAAAAATATGGACCGACTTATGGGTGAATAACAAAATAGATTTCAATTAATATTTAATATATTAAGTTAATATAATTTTTTTTATAATAAACTACACACAAAAAATAAAATTATTTCAATAGGATTTCAATGTAGTAGTTTTACAAATAAAAATCATATATCAATGAACAATATTACTGTATTACTATACAAATATTTTTTACAAATTTATATTTCAATTTTATAAAATATACTATAATATAAACCACTTAACATTTTATTATTATTATAACTATTTTTAGTATAACTATTATTATTATAACTGTTATTATTATAACTATTATTAATATTACAATTATTATAATTATTATAACTATTATTATTATTACAACTATTATTATTATTACAACTATTATTATTATTACAACTATTATTACAATTACAATTATTATTATTATTATAACTATTATAATTATTATAACTATTATAATTATTATTACTATTACTATTACTATTACTATTATTATTACTATTACTATTATTATTATTATTACTATTACTATTACTATTACTATTGCTATTGCTATTGCTATTACTATTACTATTACTATTACTATTACTATTACTATTACTATTACTATTACTATTACTATTACTATTACTATTACTATTACTATTACTATTACTATTACTATTACTATTACTATTACTATTACTATTACTATTACTATTACTATTACTATTACTATTACTATTACTATTACTATTACTATTACTATTACTATTACTATTACTATTACTATTACTATTACTATTACTATTACTATTACTATTACTATTACTATTACTATTACTATTACTATTACTATTACTATTACTATTACTATTACTATTACTATTACTATTACTATTACTATTACTATTACTATTACTATTACTATTACTATTACTATTACTATTACTATTACTATTACTATTACTATTACTATTACTATTACTATTACTATTACTATTACTATTACTATTACTATTACTATTACTATTACTATTACTATTACTATTACTATTACTATTACTATTACTATTACTATTATTATTATTATTAGTCATATATTTGCATTTAGTTTGTGCATTAGTTTATCAGTAGTATGCAAGTCAACTCAAATTTTTTGTGTGTTATCTTATTTTTAATATTTTAAGCAAATATTTTTAACATATAGGTGTGAATTCAAAGCTATGATATTAACTATTGTATATTTATATGACACTTATATTAATCTAAAATAAATACAGGCCTTAATTTTAACTTTATTTTTTAGTTAAATAAATTTTTAAACAAAGATTTAATGTAAAAAAATTAACAAAAATCTAGAAAATAATTAAACAGTAGCACATCTAGTTTAATTTACCTAAACTTTGATTTTTGACTAAAATTTTGATTGATTTATAAATTTTATTTATATATTTAAAAGTCTATTTGAATCAAATGAGCCAATTATGATGACATCGGATCCGAAGTTAATCAGAAATATTTTGATCCGAGATTTTAATGCATTTCGTTTGATACCAACATTGGTTACACCGGCCGATCATCCAGTCTATGGCAATGTCATCGACAATACTGGCGACGCTATTTGGCTACGCATACGATCCGTCATTAGGACACTGTTTACCGATAAAAAACTCAGATTATTGGTTAAAAAAGTTGAATACAATTTAATGGATTTAACCAATGCTTTGGACGGATTGGTAGGTCAGACTTCAATCAACATTAAAAAGGTGTTTATCAATCAGTCGATAGATTTGATGGCAAATGTTATGTTTTCGTGGAAACAAAATTCATTCGTCGATACAAATAATAAATTCAATCAACTAATTAAACGTCTATTGTTTCCATCAAAATATCGTATATTAGCTAATCTAGTGCTACCAAAATTTATGCTACAATTTCTCAATTTGTCAAACATTATACCAACAAATGGTTTAAACAAATTCGCTGATCTAACTGTTGAAGAGTTAGATAAACGTAAATCATTGACCACTGATATCAATGAAGATTTTTTTCAATGGATGCTAAATAGGTGTACAGAATTCATCGGCAATACAGACAACAACAAAACAATTGAAACAACAGAATCGGGTAATACAAACAAACAAATTAATATAATTATTTAGTTGTCATATAAAATAATTATATAACTTAAAATAATTTATATACAGTATTAAATATTATTAAATTATAAGTTAAATATATATACAGTCTTATCTTGAATCATTTTGTTTTTAAAAAAAGCTAAAAAAATTTTCATGATCTTTTACATTTATGAGTAATTAAAAATTTTATTGAAAAGTTATTTAAAAAAGCACATAACTAGGAACTTAAAAACACCATTAAATTTGACTATGTTGCTAAATGATTAATTAATATATATATACGTATATATATATATATATATGAAAAATAGATCAAATGATGAGCAAAGATGAAGTGATGGCCAATATATTTGCACTATTCTATGGGGCGTTTGAAACACATTACACTTATATGACATTCATTATCTATGAGTTGGCCGTCAATCCCGAGTGTCAGCAAAAAGTTTACGAAGAAATTATGACCTGTTATCGGGATTCCCATAACAATAGTCGTACTGCAATTGACGGCCAGTTGTTTGATTGGGAATCACTGGTCAAACTGGACTATTTGAATGCCTGTATATCGGAAACAATGAGATTACACGCGGCTGTCATTAGAGAAGAAAGAATAGCCAAACAGGACTATACAGATGAGACAACAGGTATTACTATTAAAATATTATTATTAAAGTATATATACAGTATATATACAATACATTTAAAATACAGCTACGCTATTTATATATATTTCAATATATGTATGTAAATATATATAAACATCGTTTCATAAAAACTGACACTAATTTAAATTGAATTAAATTGGGTTATAATTAAATTTATCAAAAAATTATTATTATTAAATTAAAATATAATATATAAAGATTAAAATAAGTTGTAGTTTAATATTAAATTAGTTAGTTTAATCTCTCTAATTTACAATTATAATCGAAATTTCGGTAACATAATTTATGACTCCAGAAGTTTGTACCGAAATTATCTTAAATATCATTGATCTTCACCATCCAGATCTTTGTGGTGCATCCAAGATGATTGTCTAACCTTTATCCGTGGTTAGAAAGATACAGCATTAGAAAAAAAATTACCATGGTCAATAACCAAGACCTTTAAGATAATTTGGTCCAGAATTCTAAAAAAATTTACTATCGGGTAACTAAATAATTTAAAGGAAAAACGGGAAAAGAATCTTACATAATATACTATTTAAATATATTATTAAAGATCTAATTAAATAATTAATTTTGCTATTAAATAGCAGTTTACTTCAGTTAAGTAAATTTAGTGTCAGTTTTTTATGAAACAAGGTTTATACTATATATAATAAAGTTAATATACATATATTGAAATATATACTATATAGGGTTTAAAATATATATAGATTAATTGATTTCTACAAATAATTATATATTTAATACTAGGCCTTATCATTAAAAAGGATCATATGATACAGATTTCACGTACAGCAGTACAACGCTGTCCCGATTATTACGAAATGCCCGACCAGTTCATACCCGACCGGTTCCTCAAACAAAACAAACACCAATTGGTTGACTCAGCATTTCTACCGTTTGGTTTGGGACGTCGTATGTGTCCCGGCTATAGATTTGGACTGATGGCCATCAAATTGACCATGGCACATTTGTTGTTACGATACAAGTTTGTAAAACTTAATAATAACCAAACCGTATTCAAAACCGATCCGATTATCGAACACTATTCCTATTGTCCAGAAATGTTGAATTTAAAAATTGAAAAAAGAGAGTAACAATTTAATAATTTCTTTAAACATATAAAAATTGTTTAATAAAAGTTATGTAAGAATTTATTTGAATAATTTTATTTCTCAGTTAAATAAATAAAAATTATAAATAATTTTTCTTATAATTTCAAATTTTTATTCAATTATATCATGTGTATTATACAATGTTTCCAGTAAATAAATGCATGCCCTGGTAATGCCCTGGGCATCTATTTTCAGGTGGTGACAACCTATTATTTTAATTTTTATATTATTAATTATTTAAAATCATTGATTATCTCAATATACTATTTAATCTATGATATTCATTTTTTTCAACAATTTTTCAATAGTTTGAATTTTACTTTATAAAAATTATTTTCTAGTAAATTAATTAATATTTAATAAAGTTAAATTACTAGAAAAAAACAACATAATTGTGACAAAGCAGATATTTAGTAAAGTTTTATTTTACTAAAAAATATATTTTTTATATAAAAATTAATATAATTATTTTCTAGTAAATTAATTAATATTTAATAAAGTTAAATTACTAGAAAAAAGCAACATAATTGTGACAAAGCAGATATTTAGTAAAAAGTTTTATTATACTAAAAATATATTTTTTATATAAAAATTAATATAATTATTTTCTAGTAAATTAATTAATATTTAATAAAGTTAAATTACTAGAAAAAAACAAAATAATTGTGACAAAGCAGATATTTTGTAAATTTTTTTCAGTGTACTAAAAGATATATTTTTTATATAAATATTAATATAATTATTTTCTAGTAAATTAATTAATATTAAAAAACAGTTAAACTACTAGAAAAAGCAACAAAATTATGACAAAGCATATATTTATTAAATAGTTTTTTTGTACTTAGAGATGGGCAAATAGAGTTTCTAATAAATTTCCCTTAGAAAGTTTCTAGAAAGTTTCTCAGAAATAAATTTCTATAGAAATCTAACTTTTTATTTATACTATGGGATCCACATATCTATAGATCTATTATATAATATAGATTACTGTATATTAATATATTATACAAATGGCATATCTATATAAATAATTATAATTATTTAATAATAATCAGTTTTGTAAAATTTTATTCACCATTTTATTATATATTAGTTTAATATAAATAATTAAATAAATTTTTTACTTTAATTAATAATTAAAATACTAATACTAATATTTAAATATTAGTTATAAAAACAATGTTAAAGATAACAAATATCGAGAAAACAAAATTAACCATGGGGATCCAATAAATAGAAATTTTTTTTAGAAACTTTCTAGAAATTTCTCTATTATTTTATAAATTTCTCTTTTATCCCAACACTATTTGTACTAAATAAATATATTTTTTATAAAAATATATATAATTATAAAAAATAATACTTTTTTAGTTTAGTAATTGAATAGAATGTTCAGTTAAAGAGAAAGAGAGAGAAAATGGCAGCAAATAATGATTTCTACGATGAAGTGAGAAAATCGCGAAACTTTACCGGAAAAGTAGTATTGGTTACGGGATCGGGTGGTGGTATCGGTGCTTCAATTGTCAAATTATATTCATCACTGGGAGCTAATGTTGTGATCACCAGTAGAAAAGCAGACGCTGTTCACAAAGTGGCTGTCGATGCACAACAACTGTCACCTAAAAAACTAGAAGTAATTAAAATTTATTTTAATTAATTTGAGATTAGATTAGATTTTATTTTATTTATTATAATTATTATCTTAATTTAAAGCCATTAAAAGTAATCGCAGATCTAACCAAAAGTGATGAATTGAAACAATTGTTGAATAAAACTATCGAAACATTTGGTAAAATAGATATTTTGGTCAACAATGCCGCGAGTCTATCACTCGCTTATATAACTGATCCTAAATTTATTGATAAACTCAAGTCAACCGAAACACTTGATATTAATGCTACACTAGAGCTAACACAACTGGCCATACCTTATCTGGAGAAAACCAATGGCAATATTATTATGATTTCATCAACAATTACTCAAAGACCGGTAAATTTTTAAATTTAAAATAATAATAATATTAATAATATAAAATAAATTTATATAGTTTAAAGGTTACTTTAATCATATTATTGCTAAAAATGCATTGGAAAATGCTACCAAGGTACTATCAATTGAATTGGGTAATAAAGGCATAAGAGTTAACTCAGTCAGGTTAGTTAATAATTGTTATTTATTTTTTTATATTTTTTTCTCAATAATATATAAGATTATAAATAATTATTTAAATTTCTAAATACCATTCAGTCCCGGTTTTATTAATTCAAAACCATCAGTAACTGAGCCAACAATTATTAAAATGCTTAATATGGCAGCAAATAGGACTCCATTGGGCAGAATAGGCGATCCACAAGATATTGCCTCAGCTGTGGTATTCCTGAGCTCATCGGACGCCCGATTCATAACCGGACATAATCTGGTTGTCGACGGCGGACTTAAATACAATATGGACTCTGATTTTATGGAAAGTTATGATTTAGATAAATTATCAGAGTAAAAAATGTTTTTATTATTGCTTATATTGTTATTTAAAATATTAACAGTGAATAAAAATAATTAATATAATTATTATTGAATATAATTTTATATTTTAAAATAATTTTTAATTATTTAATAATATAAACTTTATTGTTGTTAAAAATTTAAATATCTGCAATTTATATATATATATATACAAGAAGACAATGTATATTAATAAGGCGTTCATTATATCTGTCCTCGTGTTTAATCTAATAATTTTTTTTAATTACATCTTTTATTAATTATTTTTAATATTATTAGAATAATATTATTTTAATGAAATAGTAGTCTATTTAATAATCTAATTAATTTTTAATATTTATAAAGTTTTAATAGTTATAAAATTATTAAATAACAAACATATTAAAAAATTTTAATTAACTTTATAGATAAAGTTTTTATCAAAATATTTTTTAAAATTCTAACTATTCATTAAATGGACATCTATTATTATTAATAATAAATATTTTTACAATGAAGTAATATTTTAATGAAATGTTTTTAATTTTATTTAATAATTTTTACGAATATTTTACTAATCTAAAAAAAATAAATAATTTATATTATTATTTAAAAATACATTTACTTAAAATTTTTTATTGCTTAGAAGATTACCAAACAAAACACATTGAAAAAAATGACAATTTTTAAATTGTGTAAAATATAGTGTATTTTTCAATTTGTAAGCTCCGTATTCACCGATCATTACCGATATGGCAGTCGACTGTTCAGTCGGTACCGGTATAATACACGAACAAATTACACGTAAATTTGAAACACCAAACACTTTGAAATTTTCATCGACAACAGCACCGGTTATATCATCATCGGGTGATCGACCTATACGGCAGCCGCCCATCGGTGATACATAATCGGTGTTTGTTTGGATAATACATTTGAGATAATTGTCGCAAAAATATTTTTCAGTACAGGGAGTACAACCGGGAACCGGATATTTATATAGTTGAATATATTTTTGCATTGACGGGCTTTGATATATGTTTAAAGCTAATTTCAGTGTTTTAACCAGATCATCAATGTCGTTTTTATTACAAAATTGACACGGGTCAATAATAGGCGGTACCCGAGGATCGGTAGCTGATGCTAGTTGTATACGACCAGTACTTTTTGCGCGTTTCAGTGTTGCATAAATAGGAAAACTGCTACGATTTAGATATGGCCGATAAAATTTGCGCCATCGGTCAGGCTGTTTGTATGGGGCAACTAATGTATCCAAATCTGAACCAACATAACCGGTTCGTAGTAATATACAACCGTTGCTCAGTTGTGGATATGTACTGCTATTGTATGGCAGTTCCGGAAAACAGGTCACACCCAATGAATTCTGACTTAAGGGTCCGGAATGGTTTACCAAAAATTTGTAAATATTATCAAATGTTTCCAATGGTTTGTCGACAAGCGATTGATTGATTATATCAAATTGAATCGCTTGAATAAATGGCGAATAAATCATATTATGGCCAACTGTTAGATTGGAAACCAGAGGAATACCCATTTGTTTTAAATGATCTGCCGGTCCGATACCCGATAGCATCAACAGCTGAGGACTGCCTATAGCACCGGCACTTATAATCACCTCCTTATTGACAAAAACATTGTGCTTTAGGCCATCATTTCCGAGTACTTCAACACCGATCGCCCGTTTTTTATCGTCAAACAATATTTTTGTTACCAAAGAGTTGCCCAAAACTTTTAAATTTTTATTTTTATTTGCGTCGAGAAATACTTTTGAAATTGATTGACGACATCCCTGATCATCGATAGTATTTTGGATGAGTGTTGTTCCCATTGGTTGCCTACCATCCATGTGTGTCCAATTGTAGCCCAATTTTTCCGATGCAATTATATAATGTTTAAAAACTTCATCAATAGTAGGTGTGGTTACTGTCAATTGTCCGCCTGATCTATGATAACTGGATTCAGTGGTAACTAAATTGTTGTCCAAATTGTTTTCGGTTTTCAGAAAAAATGGCAAAACATCGTCAAAAGTCCAACCTTTTAGACCGGTTATATCGGACCACAATCGGTAATAGTCGGGACATTCGCGATAGTAGTTCATTGAGTTAATGGCTGTCGATCCGCCCAATACTCGGCCCTGCGGTATGTTTACCCTATTGTCTACATAACCTAAATATGAATATTTTTGGCTAACAATAGGATAATTCCAGTTTTGATCGGTTTCGGTTAGTTTCGGTTCAAATGCTAATTAAAAAATTTTATTATTAAAAATTTATGTTTAATTATATTTATAGATTGATTTATTAATAGTATTATTTATTTAGTAATTAATTATTTTTTTTATTATTATTACCCGGAATATCATTGTATAAGTTTTGTTTGCCGCCCGCTTCCAACAATAATATACTTGTTTGGCTATTTTCGGCCAACCGGGCGGCCACTGTTGTACCCGAAGCTCCCGAACCGACTACAATATAATCATAATATTTATTATTAATAATAATATTATCTTCAATGATGTTATTAACACTGTTTGGTTCAATTATTTGTTTTTTATTAACTATTGTCAATAATAAATATAACAATTTTAGCATTGAATACATTTTTTATTTAAATTTTAATAAATGAAAATATTTTTGTTTTTTTAAATTTTAATTAATGAAATTATTTTTGTTTTTTATAAATTAAAACTTATTTTTTTAATTTAATAAATTTTCAGTAGATTGTGTTTAATGTATTTCTTGTACTTTATTTTTTGTGTATCATACGTAAACTAAAATATTATACCAATAAAAAAAACATTTATAATGTTAGTTAGTATTTAAAAAAATAATAATAATATTTTGCAAATCATTATTCAAAAAAAAAGTCTATAAAACAATGTTATAACTGTTAATGTATGTCTAGAAAACAGTATATTTAATGAAAACACTTAAATAATAATTAATAAATACTATTAACATATATTAAACTGTAATGTATTTCAAAAGAAACACAAGTGTATAGAAAACACTTTAGGCGTGGTTCACATATTACGTTCGCACTTGAGGGGAGGGGAGGGGGCTAGCCCAAGCGTACTTTTGCGAACGAGGGGGGAGTGGATGGGTAGAGACTTTAAGAACGTTCGCATTTAGATAATATCTTATTTCTATTTCATTAAATAACAATTAAATGAAATTTTAAAAAAAAAATTATTGTATTATACAACCTAACCGAAACCGTACAATACATTTACAGTTTACATTTCTAATTGATACTTATATTAAAACTATATTAACAATGATATCCTACCCATTAAAATATGTTAATAGTATTTATTAATTGTTATTTAAGTGTTTTCACGAAATCTCTCTCTCTCTCTCTCTCTCTATTTATTTATACATTACTGTAGCTAAATATACAGGTGTACAGTTAATATATACATTAACAATATATATTTGAAATTTAAATATTAAATTAATAATAATAATACTGTACTTTATAAAGTTACTTAATCTATTTACTACTTTAGCTTAATTTCAAAAAAATTATCAAATTATGTTAATAGTTAAAAAAATTGTTTTTCATATAAGAATGTACAAGATTAATTTAACAAAGTAGCAGGGACGGTTAAGCAAATTTTTGAAATTCACATTTTTATTGATATATTTTAATATATAATATAATTTTACACATATATATTAAATTTTATACCAATCGGATCAATATTTTTAAAGTTATTAAATAAAATAAATTTTCATTATAATGGGAGGTATACAAAAAAAAGTCAAACTTTGAACCCCCAAAAACACCCGTCCCTGGGATCAATTGTTATGAAATTTTTTTGGTGACATTATAATTATCAATAGATGTTTTTAGGAAAGTGTGGATCTGCTCCTCAAAAATAATCTTAAAATTATCAATAATTAAATTATTTATATTGAGACCGCCGGAAAGTTTAAAATTTATAAAAATTATTTTACATCACATGACAAATTAATTGACACAAAAATTAGTTTACAATATGTTACTTAACTGTACTCTATCAATAATTATTATCAAAATATAAATTACTGATTTTATTAATTATTGTTTTAATAAAAATGATTTTTAATAATTTAATGTTGCTCAACTTTGTGCAATTAAAATCTAATTTAAAAAATAATTTATCTATAAGTATTAAAATTTTAAAAATTATAATATTATGTTATTAAAAATCATTTTTATTAAAACAATAATTAATAAAATCGTAACGAACCAAAGAAAGTCACCGACACTAACACTAATACTACTACACCGACAACAACTGGTACCCAAAACAATGAGACGAATGCTACCGAAGCCAACAGTGGCTCCGTGGCCAAGAAAACTGAGACCAACGAGCTTGAGGTAAAAAGGAGTGATTTGAAAAATAATTTGCCTGAAATCAATCGATCGAAATGTGATAAATGCGGGAAAGAGTTTTCATCGATTTGGGTGCTTAAGGCGCACAGGTAGGTGATTCATAAAGATGTGGTTCCCTTAGATATAGTCGAAACATTTGCTGACGATTATCTTAATGAATACGAACGTAAGTGTGCTCTTAAAGTGACCAATGAGGGCGAACACACCTGTACTACAAATTCTGATAAGACTATCTGTGAAACCATTGTTGAACCGGCCAACAAATTCCGTAAGAAATTACAGGACAAGACTGTTCTCGAAAGAGATGATTTGGTTCTCGAAGTGGAAATGCTTGAGAAGAAGGCACCCATCAAATGTTATAAGAATGGACAGGAAGTTAAACCCGATGATAGTATTTCCTTCAAATTCAATGAAGACGGCAAACAACAGCTCGTCATCACTAATGCACAGTTGGATGATATCGGAGAGTATAGTGTTGTATCGGATAAGGGTATTAAATGCAGTTGTAATGTAGGAGTCAAAGAGGCAGAGAAGAATAACCGGAGCTACGATTAACACAAACTGACTATCAGGCAGACGCTGACCGTCCGTTCAGTATAGAGATTCCGTACAAAGTTCAAGGAACCCGTACTTCTAATGTTTTACCGAAACTGATGAGTAATGGAGAGCCTGTCAGTACTAAAGATGTTGATATTGTTATCAAAGAAGACAAAATTATGATAACATTTAAGAAACCGACGCGTGAGAGCTCCGGTCCTTATGACTTCAGTTTAGGCAACAGTCAGGGCGAGTCTAAGACACCGCTTAAATTTAACTTTGAGGACGTGCCGTCACCTCCGGAGGGACCGTTGGATGTGACCAATGTGTTCCGCGATCGCTGCAAACTGGCGTGGAATCCAACCAAAGACACTGGAGGTCTACCTCTATTGCATTATGTCGTCGAACGACAAGATTTATCAATGAGAGGCGGTTGGGCTGAAGTGGGAACCACTCCCGACTGCAATATGGATGTCACAGATTCGGCGCATAAGAAAGAGTACAAATTCCGTGTCCGTGCCGTCAACAAGAAGGGTGCGTCCGAACCATTGACTGCACCGAAAATTTATTTGGCAAAAGATCCGTACGACGAACCATCCAAACCTAAAGACGCGGAGATTCTCGATTGGGATAGATATCACGTGGACCTCAAATGGAAAGCACCCGAAAAAGATGGCGGATCACCCATTGAAAAATATATTGTTGAATCAAAAGATAAATTCTCAGCCGATTGGGTCACAGCACTGGAAGTGTCAGGCAATCAATTAGAAGGAGAAGTAGTTCCGCCGGCTATTAAAGAGGGTCAACAATACCAGTTCCGAGTTCGGGCTATCAATAAGGCCGGTCCTTCCGAACCCAGCGATCCGACTAAAAACTTGATAGTAAAGGCACGGTTTGTCAAACCTTTTATTATTGGTGACGATCTCAAGAATTTGGTGGTCAAGAAGGGCGCTATTATTAAGTACGACATTCAGTACGGCGGAGAACCGGCACCTGAGGTCAAGTGGGAAATCAATGGTATAGATATCAAGAAATCGAGTCGTATATCAATTGAAAACACACCTAAAAATACATTATTACTGATAAAACAAGCCGTGAGAGCAGATACCGGCAAATTTACATTGACTTTGACTAACGGTTCCGGCACTATATCCAAATGTGCTGATGTAGTAGTTCTAGATAAGCCTACACCTGAGGGTCCACTTGTTGTTGAAGAGGTATTCGTTGAGTCGGCTAAACTCAAATGGAAACAACTAAAAGATTTGGGCGGATCTGAACTCAAGGGATACCAAATCGAGAAAATGTATGTCGACAGCGGTCGGTGGGTACCGGTTGGTGAAGTCGGTCCCAATGCCAACAGTTTTAAATGTGAAGGTCTAACCAAAGGCAAGAAATATAAATTTAGAGTTAAAGCCACCAATAAAGAGGGAGAGTCTGAACGGCTAGAAACAGACGAACCTATAGTGGCGAAGAATCCATACGAAGAACCATCGAAACCAGGAAAACCAGAAGTTGTCGACTACGATAATACAAGTGTTGAACTTAAATGGTCACCGCCTAAGAGTGACGGCGGAGCCAACATTGAGAAGTATATCAGAAGTATACTATCCGAAGGGCCACGATTTATACACGGCATATACCATGTCAGGACAAAAACTGTTCTTGAAGAAAAACTGACAAATTTATGGGGGAAATTAGACATTTCCCATGGTGTCTACACTAAGATCGGGGAAAGTAACGATAGCCCTGCGATAATTCAATCGACACCACAAGAAACTGGTGGTGGTAAAGATCAGGATATTGAATATAACATTCATGTACAACAACTGGATGACACTACAGTACTTCTTAGTTGGGATACAATTCTTTTGTACAACAAAGTCAAAGACACAGTATTCAACGTTGAAATCCGAGACAACACGCAAAGGGTTTGGACGTATATCGACAGTTGTGACGACTATATGATTGGAGTTCCGTTTTTAAAACAAGGCAGCATCTACCTTTTTAGAATTACCGGTGAGGACAAATATGGAAACAAACTGGAAGCGATAAGCCGGGAATATCACTTAGAAGTAATACCAAAGAGATTTACAAGAAAAACAGATAAAATTTATCCCGTTGTACGACAAAAGACGCCTACTCAAAGGCCATTTGACTACGTCACCGACCGGCCCGGACAACCATTTGTACGAAAATTGGACGACAAATATATTAGACTTCTTTGGTGTATACCCGGAGAAATAGACGTTAACCCCATAACAGAGTACATTGTACAGGTGAAATATCAAGGGCAAGAGGGCTGGTCACGGGCGAACCCACATAAAATTGTGGACACATTCTGTAACTTTCCGATATTAGACACGCGAATAATGGTTGAATTTCGTGTCATCGCTGCGACGACCGATGGTCGTAGTAAGCCAAGTAAATCTAGTGGACTTATTAATTATACAGTTTTAAAAGACGGTTAAGGGTAAGGGTTAACCTCCAGGCAAGCCATGTGAAGGCATTGCTGGCTGTCCGGTGGGAGACCTTTTTAAGCATTATTTGTCTTTATATTTTTATGACTTGGGGAAACCATTGTAGTTAATCTTATAAATAAGATAAATGCTATTATATTGAGTTTTATTTGTTTTAATTTATTAATAATTGTTTAATACAAACACATACACATTTTACAGTTTAGACACAAAACATATTTTGATTACATATTGTGTTATGTAATCTGCAGACTCTTACTTTCAGTTGTGATTGAAGAGTAGTTTATCAGTACTGATCTGGAAAGTCCTCTACTAGACGATACTCGAGAACTCTACTAGGGGCGTTGGTGGCCAAGTCTAGTGTTGTGGCACCAATCGTTTTTCAAGTTGATAAGTGGATTCAACTTTATCTTGAAGACTGCGATCTTCATGGTGTGGTGGTTTCGTTTTAATTGACGTCAATATTCCGCTGAAGTTTAAACAGAAGAAGGCGGAAAGAATTTAAGGCCTAATTTAATAATAATTTAATTAATAATTAATGCATTCTTTTGTTTGAATTTATTATTGAAATGACTATTTTGTCGATCGGGGACGATCAACAGGGATTGGATGGCAGTTTGTAACCGTGTTTTCTACCAGTACACTGTTTAGTTAGTTAAAGACATGTTTGATAAGGTATGTGACGGATAGTTCCGTCCCATACTGTAATTGGACTGACGGTTGAGTTGGTGCGCACAACTCAGCTGTTGGTGGGGTATAACCAGAGAGGGAGGGAGAGTGAGAAGAGCAGAACAGTTTCTAGATGTATGGTAACGACTCAGTCTTCAGCTGCCATCAAATTACCTTTAACCTTTATTGTTGTATTTTTAATTGTGAGTTTAGTTGTGTTTAAAATAAA